CCTAACAATAGAAGCCATTCTATTGCTTATTACATAGCCAAAGATGTGCGGTATTGAACGTAGGGATGATTCAATTGGCACATACCTTGGATGTAAGCTGTGATTGCTAACTTCTTTCTGAAAGTATAGTTCAGATATAAAAACTATGCATATGACTTGACTCATGGGCTAGCTGCTGGAGGAGTGGGGAAATGTTACTGAGATAAACAATCCAGTTGTAGTAGCATTTAGGGATTGTGCAGGACCTTAGACATATATTTTGAAAGTCTATTGGCTGTGTAGCTATTTACAGGTGAAACTCGAAAAATTAGAATATCGTGCAAAAGTTCATTTATTTCAGTAATACAACTTAAAAGGTGAAACTAATATTTGAGATAGACTCATTACATGCAAAGCAAGATATTTCAAGTTGTGATTTGTCATAATTGTGATAAATATGGCTTACAGCTCATGAAAACCCCAAATCCACAAAAAATCCACAGAAAATTAGAATATTACATGCAATCAATAAAACAAGGATTGTACATAGAACAATATCGGACCTCTGAAAAGCATGCATATGTCCTCAGTACTTGGTTTGGGCCCGTTTTGCAGCAATTACTGCCTCAATGCGGTGTGGCATGGAAACTATCAGCCTGTGGCACTGCTCAGGTATTATGGAAGACCAGGATGCTTCAATAGCGGCCTTCAGCTCTTCTGAATTGTTCGGTCTCATGTCTCTCATCTTTCTCTTGGCAATGTCCCATAGATTCTCTATGGGGTTCAGGTCAGGCGAGTTTGCTGGCCAATCAAGCACAGTAATCACACGGTCATTGAACCAGGTTTTTGTGCTTTTGGCAGTGTGGGCAGGTGCCAAGTCCTGCTGGAAAATGAAGTCAGCATCCCCATAAAGCTCATTTGCGGAAGGAAGCATGAAGTGCTCCAAAATCTCCTGGTAGACGGCTGCGTTGACCCTGGACTTAATGAAGCACAGTGGACCAACACCAGCAGATGACATGGCTCCCCAAATCAACACAGACTGTGGAAACTTCACACTGGACTTTAAGCATCTTGCAGTGTGTGCCTCTCCATTCTTCCTCCATACTCTGGGTCCTTGGTTTCCAAATGAGATGCAAAAGTTGCTCTCATCAGAAAAGAGGACTTTGGACCACTGAGCAACAGACCAGGTCTGTTTTTCTTAAGCCCAGGTAAGATGCTTCTGACGTTGTTTGTTGTTCAGGAGCGGCTTGACAAGAAGAATACGACATTTTAATCCCATGTCCAGGATCCATCTGTGTGTGGTGGCTCTTGATGCACTGACTCCAGCCTCAGTTCATTCCTTGTGAAAGTCCCCAACACTTTTGAATGGCCTTTTCCTGACAATCCTCTCCAGGCTGGGTCATCCCTGCTGCTTGTGCACCTTTTTCTTCCACGCTTTTCCCTTCCACATAACTTTCTATTAATGTGCTTTGATACAGCACTTTGGAAACATCCTACTTCTTTTGTAATTACCTTTTGAGGCTTTCCGTCCTTATGGAGGGTGTCAATGATGGTTTTCTGCACAACTGTCAGGTCAGCAGTCTTTCCCATGATTGTGATTCCTACTGAACCAGACTGAGAGACCATTTAAAGGCTCAGGAACCCTTTGCAGGTGTTATGGTTTAATTAGCTGATTAGAGTGGGACACTTTGAGCCTAGAATATTGCACCTTTTCACAATATTCTAATTTTCTGAGATTGTGGGTTTGGGGTTTTCATGAGCTGTAAGCCATAATCATCACAATTCTGACAAATCACGGCTTGAACTATCTTGCTTTGCATGTAATGAGTCTATCTCATATATTAGTTTCACCTTTTAAGTTGCATTACTGAAATAAATGGACTTTTGCACAATATTCTAATTTTTAGAGTTTCACCTGTAGTGCATTAAAACAAATATATCAATTTATTATAAAATTCTAAATTGTACTCACAAATTCAGAAGCATGTCACCTGTCAGTCTGCACCAACAAGATATCAGGCAGCCCTCCATGGCCCATAGCAGGGCTTCTTCAGTAAGCCAGGAATTGAAAATTGAAATGTTGTTCATCACTGTGTGCTAAATGGTGGTGGACACACTGATTGGTAGAGGGTGACTGTGACACCCATATAGGTCCAAGCAACACTTTTGGGTTGTGGGATCATTATAGCTTAGTTCTCAAAATGAATATTCTATGATTCAATTTTATTTAATACTCTAAGTTTGTATTCTGAGATATATATTCATATAAAGATATCTCTCTTTTTTTTAATAAACAAAAACTCAAAGAAAGAGGAGTGGGGAGAGAGCCAGGAGTTTGTTTTTGTATATATGTCTGTCTGGATTTACTTGTCATTGTGAGTGGTTTTAATTATATTGTTTAATAAATGTTTATATTACAGAAAGCACTATGATGGTTTTTGTTTTTTTGCCCTATGATCTGTCCATACTGGGATGAAGAGGGATGAATTTCCCAAAAGGGGGACCATTGGAATTGCGTATAATATGTGTGTTTTGCACCTTAAGCTCTCAGGTCCCAGACCAGTAGGGTGATTTTGGATGCACAGTTTCAGATGGAGTCAAGTGTGGTTTAGCATTGAGTGATGAATTGCAATAAATTATAACAGAAAGCACTATGATATTATTATTGTTTATCTCAGAGCAAATTACTTTTGGAAACATAGAAAAGGATTGATCCAAGAGGTTGTGAGAATCATCTTGAAATGTTCTTTAGTTTGAAGGTTACTCTTCAACCCCATAAAAAGGATGATTTTGCACCTCATTAACACTGAGTCCTAAAAGCAAGGTGAAAGCACATCTGATACTTGGAGAGAGCGTTGTATGCAATGTAGAGTTTTATCTGAACATTTTGGTGGAGCTCAGCATGGATGATTTTGCTGAACAATTGGATTTATAGTGATATTGGAGACACTTTCACAAGGGAGCAGACTGGAGTATTCATTTAATTTGTTGCAGACTGGAGTATTCATTTAATTTGTTGTATGGTAGAGTTTTTGGATACTAATAATAACTGATAAGTAGATATATGAATCCACTAGGATAATACTTAGTACACATTTATAATTATATTTATATTGATGGTTTTTAGACCAGTTGTAGAGCCATTGCAATCTGTGCTAATATTCCCCTGTGTATATGTCAATAGTCACTGCTAATTAAGTTCATTGGCTAGCCCACAGTAAGGCTTGAAAAAGGAAGAGATTCCCCAAAATGAGTTGTCATAATGATCCCATAACCTAGAAGTGTTGCTTGGAGTTATGTGGGCACCGCAGTCATCCTCCACCTTTTGGTGGTTCCATTGCTATTCAGCATAATTCCTGTTGTGGGCCACGAACGGCTGCTTCATGTCACCTTGTTGCTGCAGGCTCTGACAGGTGATATACTTTTGAAGCATATGTGAGTTCAATTTTATTGTATAATAAATGGATGTCTGTTTTAATGCACTAGCTCACTATGCCTTTTTCTTCTTTTTTGTATCTTTGGAAATGATTACTGTCTGTTTTACTGTTCTTCTTTTTTCGCACTTTCTGAGTTACAGACCAAACACATGTGTACAGATTAGTTTTGACATCCCTTAATGTATATTATTTCCGGGTCAATGACTCGGAACACAGTATTGAAGCCAATGTATCAGTATGAAGTCCAGGCAACTCACATTTTTAAAAGGAGATCAGAAATGACAAGCACACATATCTGTCATGGTCGGTTTCATTTATATATATCTATCTCAAAGGCAAGTGAACAAAGTAGCACACAACAAAAGTCTTTCCCTTTCATGACAGAAATATCAAATACATAACATTATCAGTTCTATACTTGGGAATTCTTGACATATCCCAGCATCTTGACATATCCCCCAGTCTGCCTATTTATAATGACCCTGTCACGTTGGCAAGTATCAATGCCTTCACTTAGTAAAATTCTTTTCTTTATTATTCATGATGTATAAATAGAGAGAATATTTTATCTAATGACCTCTCCCTGATCCCCAGACTTTTCTGAATATAGGATAGGTGGACACATTCTTTTCCACATTCTTCCTTTGTGGACATTTCTAGTTTAGATATTTATAAGATGTTTTTCATACACTATGTCTTTAACATCCTCCCCACAGATTTGCAGCAGTGTTCAAGCACGGGTTGCTGGGTTGCCATTTGTATTTTTATGGACAGCCTGTAAAGAATTGACAACTATCTGTATTTTCATGAACAGCCTGTAAAAATGAAATAACATTCTTCTACTGAATATCTGTTCCTTTTCCCGCTTCCTTAGTCTGCCTCTTCTGATCCCATCCATCTTTATTTCTGTTGGTTCATCTACCTAACTCTTGGACCATGCTGTTGAAATCACAGGAAAAAGCCAGCACTCCAATATATCAGCACAAATGGATATCCTTTAATACAAAATGGTGGGTTCAGCTCATAAAAACTCTTAACGCATTTCAACTGTCAGCTGCAATAAAGGATATCCATTTGTGCTAACATATCGGAATGCCGGCTTTTTCCTGTGGATTACATAGCATTGAAGGCTATCAGAAGCTGTTTTCTGAGCACCTAGTACCTGGATCTGTGGATATTAGAGAGGTTGCAGCGGTGTTTGACCTGTTCTTGGACCATGCTGTACCTGCAAGTTTGGCTGCACAGCAATCGTGAAAGACTCTTGTCATAACACTACTACCCAGACAGTGAGATCTCAGATCAGTTACCGTATTTTTCACTCCATAAGACACACTCCCCCCCCCAGGGGCGGACTAACCATTTGGAAACTCGGGCACTGCCCGAGGGCCCGGGGTCAGTAGGGGGCCCCATGAGATGTCCCTGGTACTTTTTCATAGGCTTTTCTGAGTTTGGGCAAGGACACAGGGACCCTATGATCCCCTATTGCCCAGGGGCCCGATGAGTTGTCAGTTCAGACCAGCTCCCCCCCCCCCCCCCAAAATGGGGGGAGATATCTGTGCATCTTATGGAGCGAATATGGAGTGGACGGCCCGGTATTCCCCCCCAAGTTGCTGCGTTAGAATACCAGGCCGGCTGCTCGGCTGTACAGAAGAACCTGCTCCTCGGTCCTACCTATTCTCCGTTACTGCGCTTTGTGAATGGCCACGTAGTCTTCTGGGACCTGTCACATGTCCCACAACACTACGGGGAGGGAGCGTGGGAGGACAACTCTGTGAAAGTGGGAGTGGGTACCTGTCAAATTCGGGTACCAGCCCCCCCCCCCCATAGGTCTGCAGTCTCTGGTCATCTCCTGTACTATGTCCATAGTCTCTGGTCATCTCCTGTACTATGTCCGCAGTCTCTGGTCATCTCATGTACTATGTCCGCAGTCTCTGGTCATCTCATGTACTATGTTCGCAGTCTCTGGTCATCTCCTGTACTATTTCCACAGTCTCTGGTCATCTCCTGTACTATGTCCACAGTCTCTGGTCATCTCCTGTAGTATGTCCGCAATCTCTGGTCATCTCCTGTAGTATGTCCGCAATCTCTGGTCATCTCCTGTAGTATGTCCGCAATCTCTGGTCATCTCCTGTACTATGTCCGCAGTCTCTGGTCATCTCCTGTAATATTTCTGCAGTCTCTGGTCATCTCCTGTAATATTTCTGCAGTCTCTGGTTATCTCCTGTACTATGTCTGCAGTCTCTGGTCATCTCCTGTACTATGTCTGCAGTCTCTGGTCATCTCCTGTACTCTGTCCACAGTCTTTGGTCATCTCCTCTGCTATGTCAGCAGTCTCTGGTCATCTTCTATACTATGTCCGCAGTCTCTGGTCATCTCCTGTACTATGTCCACAGTCTCTGGTCATCTTCTGTAGTATGTCAGCAGTCTCTGGTCATCTCCTGTAATATTTCTGCAGTCTCTGGTCATCTCCTGTAATATTTCTGCAGTCCCTGGTTATCTCCTGTACTATGTCTGCAGTCTCTGGTCATCTCCTGTACTATGTCTGCAGTCTCTGGTCATCTCCTGTACTCTGTCCGCAGTCTTTGGTCATCTCCTGCTATGTGCTATGGTCATCTTCTATACTATGTCCAGCAGTCTCTGGTCATCTCTATACTATGTCCGCAGTCTCTGGTCATCTCCTGTACTATGTCACATTCTCTGGTCATCTTCTGTAGTATGTCTGCAGTCTCTGGTCATCTCCTGTACTATGTCTGCAGTCTCTGGTCATCTCCTGTACTGTGTCTGCAGTCTCTGGTCATCTCCTGTAGTATGTCTGCAGTCTATGGTCATTTCCTGTAGTATGTCAGCAGTCTCTGGTCATCTCCTGTACTGTGTCCACAGTCTCTGGTCATCTCCTGTAATATGTCTGCAGTCTCTAGTCATCTCCTGTACTGTGTCTGCAGTCTCTGATCATCTTCTGTACTGTGTCTGCAGTCTCTGGTCATCTCCTGTAGTAGGTCTGCAGTCTCTGGTCATCTCCTGTACTACAGTCATGTTCCATAAATATTGGGACATCGACACAATTCTAACATTTTTGGCTCTATACACCACCACAATGGATTTTAAATTAAATGAACAAGATGTGCTTTAACTGCAGACTGTCGGCTTTAATTTGAGGGTATTTACAGCCAAATCAGGTGAACGGTGTGTAGGAATTACAATAGTTTGCATATGTGCCTCCCACTTGTTAAGGGACCAAAAGTAATGAAACAATTGGCTTCTCAGCTGTTCCATGGCCAGTTGTGTGTTATTCCCTCATTATCCCAATTACAATGAGCAGATATAAGGTCCAGAGTTCATTTCAAGTGTGCTATTTGCATTTGGACTCTGTTGCTGTCAACTCTCAAGATGAGATACAAAGCTGTCACTATCAGTGAAGCAAGCCATCATTAGGCTGAAAAAACAAAATAAACCCATCAGAGAGATAGCAAAAACATTAGGCGTGGCCAAAACAACTGTTTGGAACATTCTTAAAAAGAAGGAACACCGGTGAGCTCAGCAACACCAAAAGACCGGAAGATCACGGAAAACAACTGTGGTGGATGACCGAAGAATTCTTTCCCTGGTGAAGAAAACACCCTTCACAACAGTTGGCCAGATCAAGAACACTCTCCAGGAGGTAGGTGTATGTGTGTCAAAGTCAACAATCAACAGAAGACTTCACCAGAGTGAATACAGAGGGTTCACGACAAGATGTAAACCATTGGTGAGCCACAAAAACAGGAAGGCCAGGTTAGAGTTTGCCAAACGACATCTAAAAAAGCCTTCACAGTTCTGGAACAACATCCTATGGACAGATGAGACCAAGATCAACTTGTACCAGAGTGATGGGAAGAGAAGAGTATGGAGAAGGAAAGGAACTGCTCATGATCCTAAGCATACCACCTCATCAGTGAAGCATGGTGGTGGTAGTGTCATGGCGTGGGCATGTATGGCTGCTAATGGAACTGGTTCTCTTGTATTTATTGATGATGTGATTGCTGACAAAAGCAGCAGGATGAATTCTGAAGTGTTTCAGGGAATATTATCTGCTCATATTCAGCCAAATGCTTCAGAACTCATTGGACGCCGCTTCACAGTGCAGATGGACAATCACCCAAAGCATACTGCAAAAGCAACCAAAGAGTTTTTTAAGGGAAAGAAGTGGAATGTTATGCAATGGCCAAGTCAATCACCTGACCTGAATCTGATTGAGCATGCATTTCACTTACTGAAGATAAAACTGAAGGGAAAATGCCCCAAGAACAAGCAGGAACTGAAGACAGTTGCAGTAGAGGCCTGGCAGAGCATCACCTGGGATGAAACCCAGCGTCTGGTGATGTCTATGCGTTCCAGACTTCAGGCTGTAATTGACTGCAAAGGATTTGCAACCAAGTATTAAAAAGTGAAAGTTTGATTTATGATTATTATTCTGTCCCATTACTTTTGGTCCCTTAACAAGTGGGAGGCACATATGCAAACTGTTGTAATTCCTACACCGTTCCCCTGATTTGGATGTAAATACCCTCAAATTAAAGCTGACAGTCTGCAGTTAAAGCACATCTTGTTTGTTTCATTTCACATCCATTGTGGTGGTGTATAGAGCCAAAAATGTTAGAATTGTGTCGATGTCCCAATATTTATTGACCTGACTGTATGTCTGCAGTCCATTGGGTCAAAATTTTTTTTTCTTGTTTTCCCTCCTCTAAAAGCTACGGAGCAAAAAATACGGTACTTGATAAAGAACATTATAAAATAGTTGCCTTTTGAAAAGTTAGCAAACCTAAAGAGAGGAAACTTAATTTTCTTTGTTTGTTTTTACTACATATCAAGCTGTTTGTTGCTTTAATTACATGTTGATTTGGAGGAGATCAGTGATCTATTTTTGTGCTACCAGAGTCTTCTACATTGGATGATATCCTTGCTAGAATGCTGATGTAACACTTATATTTCCAATATTACTCTTGTGTCAGGATAAATAAGACCATTTTTGAAAGTTAAAATATATGCAAGTCTATAATCATTGTCAGCCCCTAGCAAATTTCCTATTAAACACCTGTAAAAATGAAAAAAAAAAAGGATTTTTCTGTTGTTTAAGTGTATCAAACCCCAAGAACAAAAATGTAATATATTGCAGCTTACTGGTCCTTAGATGTATTTTTTTTCTTTTCTTTTTACCTGGTATCCCTGCAAGTTCCACACTTCCTGCGACAATGCTCACTCACTATACTGTGTATATAGAGCAGCATTGTCACCTTAGCACAGGAAGTGATGTAGTACTACAGAACTCCTCCACCTCTCTTTATCATGATAACATAAGGGAAATAATGTAGGCTGGCCATAGATCGATCGAATCTCTGCCAGTTCAGCAGGGACTGTTGACTTGGTTACAGCCAGCTTGTCAGATTTTTAGCATACGATTACTGCCCTTGGCTATAGCCACTAGAGTAATCATTGTATTCTGCTGGCCGGGAAAGCTGCTTTCGCCACTCTGCAGGAAGAACACAATAGTGCTGCAGGAGGCATTCCCCCATCAACACTGACTGTATTGATGGGGAAATTAATCCATTTTCTTTCCTTCCACTTGTGTTGGAAGGAAAAAAAAATCAATATATCTATGGCTTGCTTTGGCAAGTTGATTTTAGCACGTTGATTAGCCTTCAGAATTTTGATACTTTGTGGAATATATTCCTTCACTTACTAGCATAATTCATCCTATGCCACTGACAATCCTAAATCTCTGTTTGCAATCCCATGCTTAAAGTGTTACTAAACCCAGGACCCCGCATTCACTATATCTGGTCTCCCACAGTACACACAACATGGAAATGCTATTATTTTACAAATTTTAAACTGCTAAATAACTTTTTTGATCAGCAGTTACACCAGTCTTGTGATTTCATTTGTGTCCAGCTGAGCACTGGCTAAAGCTTGTAGGAAGAGTTTTCTTTCTGCTCTAGGAGGATGCAGAACGCCTGACCTCTGTCTGGACAGTACTGATTGGCCCTGTGCTGATCGCATGCACTCTCCCAAGAAAAAAAAATCTCTAGCAATACGCACCAAACTGAGCATGTGCAGGATGTTCCTAAACAATATGTCTTATCAGGAGATAAGATGGGGACACTGGAAGAAGGGGAGGATCAGAGAAGACAGGATTTATGCAATTATTTTAATAAATATAAACTGCTAAATACCTTTTCTCATCAGCAGTTAGAGCAGTATTGTGACATCTATCAGTGTCCAGCTGAGTACTGGTTAAAGCTTATAGGAGGAGTTTTCTTTTTCTTCTGACTGTCCTATGAGACTACAGGACCCCTGACCCTCTGCCTGTCCCTGTGCTGATCACATGCTCTCTCCCCCCCAAAAAAAACTTTAGCAGTACACACTAAACTGAGCATGTGCGGTTTGCTCCCAAGGCTTTGTTCTAGTAAGAGATGAGTCAGGGACAGTGAAAGAAGGGGAGGATAAGAGAAGACGGGATTAAACATCCATTTTACACAATGCAGAGCATTAACCCCTTAGGGTCCACAATGAGTATAACAAGAATGCTTTCCTGCATATACAGACTGATTTTACTGTTGTGGGTTTGGTAACACTTTAACAATTGCAAGGTGTTTTTCTTCAAAAATGTGTCCTTTTTTTCCCAGATGTACAGTATTTTGGTGATTATAGCCAGATTTAAAATTTTTGTTTTATCAGATTACAGCACTTTGTTAAAAATACCCCTATCTTAAAGTATGTATAGGTTTCATGTTTCTGATGCTGACTTTTGGAAGGTTTTCTTTTGATGATTTTATTCTATTCAGTTATATTTTTTTCAAGCAAGGTTGCAGAGTAGACCACAGTGCCCCTGTACTTCCATGACAGCCAACCTCCCTCCAGGCACTTTGCTGTGTAATGGGGAGTTTGGCTTTGCATACATGATCAGTCGACCAGTAGTTCTATTGAAGATTTTTGTTCGTCTTCTAGATTGTGGCTTTACTTGATATTCCAATTTAATGACATTCTGGTTAGTGTGTACTGTATAGGAAGTGTTTTCTTGATAAAGATATCGAACGATATCTTGTTATAACCTTCAATTTTCTTACTCACTTGCTTAGAGAAAAACATGCTTGTTGACTGTAAGCACTACAGCTTCAGAAGTTCAATTAAAATGTTTTAAAGACCTTCATAAGCTTCCCGATTGTGTTTACTTGACCTAACGTATATAACCCAAATGATGCTCAGACTTAATACTTTCTTCTCATGCTCCTTCATACTTCCTCCTCAGGTCAGAAATGCTGCATATGATGATGATGGTCCAATGAGAGATGGGATGGGTTAGGGTCAGAGTCCCACCAGGGCATGCCAAACTGTATTCAGGGTCTCCTAGGCTGCAGAAGAAAGTAATTAAGCCATCTCCTGCCGAAAGCCCATCTCCATCTTTTTTGTGTTTTTTTTCTAGCTTTGGGAAGACCGTAAGGAATAAAATTTTTAGTCATGTTTTTATTAGTGCTATCATTCCGGTGATTTTTCCTTAGCTCAGGCATACAGGAAGGAGGGCGTGCTTAGCTTAGCAAACCCATTCTTCCATTCTGAAGACTCCTGGGATGTATGACATCATTTGCCTAGGCATGGAAACCAGGAAATAAATGAAGGAATGTAAAAAAAAAAAAATACGTAAAAATAATATACACTATATTGCTAAAAGTATTGGGACACCTGCCTTTACATGCACATGAATTTTAATGCCATCCTAGTCTTAGTCCGTAGGGTTCAATATTGAGTTGGCCTTCCTTTGCAGCTATAACAGCTTCAACTCTTCTGGGAAGGCTGTCCACAAGGTTTAGGAGTGTGTCTATGGGAATGTTTGACCATTTTTCCAGAAGCGCATTTGTGAGATCAGGCACTGATGTCGGACAAGAAGACCTGGCTCGCAGTCTTCGCTCTAATTCATCCCAGAGGTGTTCTATCGGATTGAGGTCAGGACTCTGTGCAGGCCAGTCAAGTTCCTCCACCCCAAACTCGCTCATCCATGTCTTTATGGACCTTGCTTTGTGCACTGGTGTGCAGTTATGTTGTAACAGGAAGGGGCCATCCCCAAACTATTCCCACAAAGTTGAAAGCATGAAATTGCCCAAAATGTCTTGGTATGCTGATGCCTTAAGAGTCTCTTTTACTGGAACTAGGGGGCCAAGCCCAACCCCTGAAAAACAACCCCACACCATAATCCTGCCTCCATCAAACTAAACCTTTCCATGCAGTCTGGGAAGCACCATTCTCCTGCAACTGCCAAACCCAGAAACCTCCATCGGATTGCCAGACAGAGAAGCATGATTCGTCACTCCAGAGAACACGTTTCCACTGCTCTAATGTCCAGTGGCAGTGTGCTGCACTCCACTGCATCAGACACTTTGCATTGCACTTGGTGATGTAAGGCTTGGATACAGCTGCTTGGCCATGGAAACCCATTCCATGAAGCTCTCTACGCGCTGATGTTGTGCTAATCTGAAGGCCACACAAAGTTTGGAGTTCTTTAGCTGTTGACTCTGCCGAAGTTGATGACTTCTGTGCACTGTGCACTTCAGCATGCACTGACCACGCTCTGTCATTTTATGTGGCCTACCACTTTGTGGCTGAGTTGCTTCCACTTTCTTATAATACCACTAGCAGTTGACCGTGGAATATTTATAGCAAGGAAATTTCACAGATGGACTTATTGCACAGGTGACAACCTATCACGGTACCACGCTTGAATTGACTGAGCTCCTGAGAGCGACCCATTCTTTCACAAATGTTTGTAGAAGCAGTCTGCATGCCTAGGTGCTTGATTTTATACACGTGTGGCCATGAAGATTATTGGAACACCTGAATCCTATGATTTGGAGGGGTGTCCCAATACTTTTGGCAACATTTCCTATCTTTCCTATCTATTTGCTAATGCTAGCAGCATAAAGATTACAAATAATCAATGTTGATTGAGAGACTGAAGTTCTGCTTTAAGTAGGCAATGGATGAGTCATTTTTTTTTTGTTCAAACTGAAAAAAATGACTCAATTTCCCCACTCACACTCTCAATGAGGATGGAGGAATCCTCCCCGCTGAGCTTTTGTTATCTGACAGCAGGGAGACTTCCCTGCTGTAAGAATACACTGGTCAGCTTTGCCTGCTATGGCCAGTGACACTGATTGAGCGAGGAAAATCCTGTTGGCTGGTTGTACTGAAGTCTATCAATAGATTGACTTCTGTACAAATAGCTGGCCCAAACTAGACCAGTCCATGCATGACCGGCCATATTTTGATCCATGTATGGCTGGCTTTAGAGAGGGTGAATCTCCCCGACAGGGACACAGACAGCAATAAAAATGTGACAGAGGTTCTAACTCCTCACAACTTTACTCAAAACTCAAAAAAAGTTTTGGCTTTAGACACACTTCAAGGTCTACTGCACGCTTGCACTTAACATTTTCATTTGAAGCCTCTGAAGTTTTGTTTTCAGATCCGTGTGTTGTAAAAAATATAGGGTATTTCCTTATCCTTTTGGTTATTGGCAACACATGGCTGAATGGATGGAGTAGTTTAACATGAAAATGCTTCTTAAAGGCAATCCCAGACATCATGTAAAAGTCTGATGGTTTTAACAAGCTTTTCGACCTCTCATGCAGGATTTGTACAGAAGCTTATTGCTCAAGCTCTTTAATTCATTTTGCTTAGTCACTCGACTCCAATGAATACCCCGTACTGATTATTGTCTAAATGATGCATGAAATCCCAAGTGTGGTCAAGGATCATAAAAAC